CACACACACACACACACACACACACACACACACACACACACACACACACACACACACACACACAATGCTCAAAAAATAATTACCTGCTTCCGTACTGTTGAGTTTCTCCGTCCGCTACGCAGCAGAGAGGGAAAAGGGAAAAAAAAGAACGGCACTCTGTCATTATGTCTCCAGAGAAAGTCTATTTATACTCCCAACTCTGGTAATACTCTATTTGTATACACAGACACACATGGACATGTGTTGAGGATATCTATAAACACTGACAAGGAAAATAATAACCCTGCCTGCCAAGAAATCAGGCTTTAACACTGCTTTGGTAAATATGTGTGTGAATATATGTGTGTGTGTGTGCGCATGTGTGGGTCCCTATATGTGTATATTAGCATATTTCCTTCCTACGCCACACCTACCTGGCAAGGCAACAGTCAGTCTTCTGACCTAAAATAGGGAGAAGCAGGAAGGAAAAGGGGATGGGGGGTGGAGTGGGGTAAAGGGAGTTATGAAAGAGAAGAGAGAGATAGGCAGTTATAGCAGAAACAGGACGCATGAGGAAATTTGTCTGATGGAACAGAAAAAAAGAGAAACACACTTCCCACTTTTAGCTTTACACACACACACACACACACACACACAACTCAGGAGGGGTTCTCCCACAACGCTGTGAACTGGATGGCACTTTCAGCCCACTGCTACACCTTCCCCACACACAAACTAAGTTAAGCAAACAGCTGCATCCACATATGGTCACTGTCACTTTGACCTACCCTTGCCCTCTGTCACACACACTGAACGTGTGGATATTAGATATATTAAAGTGATTCTGCTTCCCTGCGTTGCTCACTGATGCGCCCCACTGCACCACTCATCTCTCAGATTTGTTCCCTGTTTAGCCTCTGGGCACCAGACTGTTCATGAATCCTGAATCCTGCTCAGTCCCACTGGAGGACTCCCAGCACGTAAACACTCACCCAGATGGGAAGGAAAAAAGATCAACTTCTAAAAGATATGAAGGACATTTTGGCAGTCATACTCACCCTCTCCTAGGGTCTTCTTGATGAGGTCATGCTTGGCCTCCAGCTTGGTGATCAGGTTCCTGCCTTCCAGAAACTCCTTCAGCTTCTACAACACATACAAAGACACACATGATGAAGTTACAGTTTGTGCAGATTATCCATTCCAGCCAACACAAATGAACATTAATGACCAGAGTCATTGCTAGATAAATGATAGCATTAATTGGAACTGACTGTGAAGTAAAACTGCTCCGTCTCCTGCTGATTGGCCCGTCGCTTGGCCAGGCTGGGTTTGCTGAGATAGGATTCACAAGTGGATTTGACTGACTCCATGCTGTTGCTGTGCTGGAAGCACTCGGAGACATCATAGTCCTCCACAGTCACCATGTCTTGAATGGTGGACAGAGTAGCCTCCATGGTTTTCTTCACCTGAATGGCAGCAATGATATAAAACAGGCTGGGATTAACACGCAGCGCAGGTGGACAGTGTGGGAGGCTAAATGTATAAATAAAACGAGAAGAAGAAAAGAAACATGCCCGACCTCATCATTCTCAATCTTAAGCGTGGAGAGGCGGGATTGCAGCTGCTGACACCTCTGGATCAGGTCGCTTTCAAGTGGCGACTGTGCACACATCACTCCCATCTATAAATGAAAAAAATAAAAACTACACATATTAGACCAATCACATTTATACACTTTCTCTGACACACAAACGAGCAACGGGACTCTACCGTGTCTCCCATGTGGGACTGAAAGTCAAAGCGAGCTGGTGGGCAGAAGACATTGTTGTAGGTCTCCATCAGTTTCTGTTTGTCCCCGTTGGCTTCAAGACTCTCTGTGGCTCCCTCTAGAGCACCAAGCCCTGTTTGTTTGGATGTTTCCACATTCTGTTCAGCAGACAAGTAGGTCCTCAGCGCTCGGTGGAGGCTGGCATGGTAGCCCAGGTCACAGCACTATCACACATGCAGACATATGGTATGAATAAACATTATTGGTTAAAAAAAACAACAACCCCACTCTCTTTAACTTTGTAATTTTTATAGTTTTGCCCCTTTGTTCTGCAATTCATTCATTTATTCAGAGGCACATGGGAAATGTTTAGAGAGAAAGCCAGAAACAGACCAGAAACACTGAATTAACATGGTATATGACAGTGTCACTAGACTTCTCCCACACACTGCTGACCTGCATTTTTATGTCAGCATCATTTATCAAATACAAGTGGAAAGTGCTGTACGATCAATATCGTCTTACTACAATAACCGTAGTCTACCCTAACTTCTCCTTAATGGTATTCATTCAAAATATATTTTAAAAAAGCTGTTACAAAGAACTTTTTTAAACCTGACCCTCGAAGTCTGATGAATGAATGAACATTGTGATATTGGAGAGGAGGAATATCTTGCTAAAAGAAAAAAGAAGTGCTGATAATAATATTGGTTCTGCTGTTTTACGATAGCATATGTCCCTCTCTCTGTACCTGCTACTATTAAGTGATTTCATGGTTATTTATCATGAAGTACCATAAAGATGTGTCATTTTTAAAACATAAAACTGGATATAATCTAATACCTAAAGGTGTAGTAGTTTGCTTACAGGATGAATAAATACAGAAAAAAGGCTGAATACATGCTGAGATAAGTATCCTCTTTTCCAGCAACAGGAAGCTGTCCAGTGCCATTGGGGCCGCTGGAGCTTTCTGTGACACTCAGGTCATGAGCCTGTTTCGCTGCCCTTTCAGGTCACCCTTGCAGAAACTGTTTATGCATACACATGAATAATTGCATGATTACTGCTTCCTTAATTTGCTTCACAGGCATGATAGGAACACTGTCTCCAGCTGGTACCTGCTTGCTGGTTCCAAGCAAAATTATACACAATTTTTAAACTAAAACGAAACATAAAAACCTGTAAAAAAACCAAACAAACAAATAAATAGAACTGATGTATTGCTACATGCCACCTCCTACCTAGTTAAATGTTGCTTGTCCAGACACGTGTCAGTTTCTTCAGAAATGAAACATGCTGATGACTGCTTCGTTATTTCAACAGGCCGTGACGCGTTATAATCAAGCAGAGAATTAACAGCTTCCGTGCAATCTAGGTTTTTTTCTTTTTGCCTCTGGCTGTCAATGGAGAGGCACAATAAACCCTGTGTTATGCACTTGGGAAGCATAAGGACTTAAGAAGAGAGACAGTACTGAGGCTAATGTGAAGAGACTGACCGAGGAGCCACCGCTGGCTCAAACGCAGACACAACAACAACGTGGTGCGCTTATACTCACATCAATGATGTCAGAGAGGTCATGGATGTAATATTTGAAGACGCAGCTGTTGGTGGCCTCGAGGGCGAGCAGGTACTCATTTCTGGCTTTGATGGCCTTCAGTCTGTTCTCTGTGTACTTAGCTTGCCTCTGATAAGAGAGGAAAGAAGAATAGGGACAGAATGAGAGAAGGAAGAGAGAGGGTTAATATGTGTTTCAGTGTAACGTCTCAGTATTGATTGCCGGTAATAAGAAGAGAGGAACCGTGCTGGTGTGACAGGCTCCAGTAATAATAAACAGGGTTAGCAATAAGCCAAGCGCACACTTATAAATCATTCATGAGACACAAACATAGATCTGTCTGACAACAGGTGGGGAGCCCAGAAACAGCCGTCATCTATCTGCTCATCTATCTGCTCGCTCCCCTCGATTTGCCCTCCCCCCTTAATCCCACGCAGGCTTGCTCACCTTCTCCTTCATCTTCTCGATTTTTTTGACGCTGGAACGCCGGACGGGTTTCTCGTCCATCTTTATGCTGGCCAGGGTGTCTGGGGAACGCGGCGTTTGGCGGTCATCCTGTCGACCAGAGCGCCCCATCTGCTTCTCCTCCTGCTTCTCTGCCTCCTTGAGCTTGGACTCAGCATTGATGCTGTCAGTGTTGTACATGTGGTATGTCTTCATCACCTGGAAACAAGGGTCGAGATTTGTAGACAAACACAGATGTGCGTCTCTTCACTCACTTCTGGCTCCGTATCAAAAGCGGGCCTTTTGCCAGTGAGCTGCCAGTGACCTGGATAAACCTCGAGCAATGGCTGGCTTCAAAATATTGAAGAGAACGCGTCACAGCACCGTGCTGGACGGCAGAGGGGTGTGGTTTGAGTTTACTGTGAAGAGTTAAACACGTGAAACGAGAGCATGTGCAGCGTCAGCCTTATTCAAGCGACCACCACTAGAGCCATCATTATGCTGTTCTGCTCAAACCCTCCAGCAACACTGCAGACAGACACACTGGTTTGTCTATGAGCAAGCATGTGAGCGTCACTCAAACCAGATCTATTCCTATCTCTTACTATAGACTATAATTACAGTGCAAAAGTTGCTTTTATGGGCCTGGCTGAGCCTTAGCTGAAGCTTTAAGCTGTAGTAGAAAACCCACACACGCAGACAGTGAAACACACTCAGACTGCTTTAGTGCTTTCGGCAGTAGCATGAAAATGTGGAGCCAGACTCTTAGATGCCCGTGATGGTGGAAGAAGACAGTGAGGTTTGGCATGTTTAACACGATCACCATTTAGCTTTGGCACATCCGCTAATTAGCTTTAAAAACAGGGTACAGTTGAATTTGATGTCATTAGTTTTGCAGGCATTTTGGTGGTGAACTAAAGGAGTAGATCGAGCAAAATATTAAATATGAATGTGACGATACTGCTAACTAAAAACTTTAGGGGCCCTGAAGGCACCATAAAGCTGATGACGGCAAGAAATGCTGCTCAAATTCACACCTGCTGGTCGTACTCCACAGAACGTAAGGAAATGACTGAGGTAACTGTAGTTAAACTGTTTACTTTCTTATGAGCTCATATTTGTCTAAATACACTGTGAAAAAAGGTAAAAGAAAGCAGTTTTAGTGTCTGCTAACACCTACCCATAGCACAACAAGGGCAGGGCTCTTTCTCATTGTTCTGTATGAAATGCAGGCGATCGTGAGACAAAATTATAATCTTGCTTGTGACTGTAATAAAAAGGGTTTTCCTTACCGAGTAAAGCTCATTAAGAACTTTCAACAGGTCTTCTTGCAGCTGTAAGCCAACCTCTTTGCTCTGATGAGACAGAGAGAGAGACAAACAGAGAACACATGTGGTGAAACAGTCCCAACCATTGACACAGTGTTATAACTTGCAGCTTCTAAGGGCTGTCCACTGATGGGGTCCCACTATACCCACTCAGCCATGTGGTCGATCAATAAATCAAGAGTAGATTATCTGGCCAAACAGCAGTGGACAAGTGTCTAATCCAGACAAATGAGTGAGGCGGTAATGGTCCCGATGGATGTGGAGCTACAGATACTGATCTCTACATGATGGCCGAGATGGCGAGAGGACAAAAGAGCTAAGGACAGGGTGGGATGACGAAGTGGCAAAAGACAGAAAAAGAAACAAGAGAGGGAAGACAGAGAGTCATACAGGCGCTACCATTCTCCAGACATAACTGCCAGGAGCCACTACTGACTGATGACTTCACAGCAGCCCACAGATGAGTAGACTCCACACACATTAGTGCACACACATGAATAAACACACACATCCATTCAGAGCCCTTCTCAACATTTCTATGTTAGGACTTTGCTAATCTGCTAAAAGGGCACCGTCCAGACTTGGGTTTAATATTATCACAAACCGAAACATAAAATTTTAAAATCACTCAGTATCACAGATTTGCCTCAGGACAGTGCCTGTCCCAAAAAACAGGAAGAGTAACAGACAAAGGATACCTCTGTCTGACCGGCAACATATGGTTTGTGTGTTCAGAATGGATCCATATGGAAAATGTACAGTGTGAACATACAAGGTAGGAAGATACCAAAATGATAACTGGTGACAGGTAAAAGAAGAGCAACCGATTGAACAATAAAGACAAAATATTATTATCGGGTTTAGATCAGGGGTGCCAAACATAGGGCCCGCGGGCCAAAATCAGCCCGACAAAGACTACAATCCAGGCCACTGGAAGGCTGGAAAAGGAGGGCATACATTTTGGGGTTTTTAACTGTATTTCCTATTGAGAAAGACCTTCCCAAAGGCCATTCAGAGAATTAAATGATAGAAATGTTCCTGTTTGTCATCACATTTTTCTTTATCAAATTTTGATTAAAAAAAAAGAAGAACATTTCCAGTGTGAATTAACAAAAACTCTATACTCACAGGACAATCTGGGCAGCTACCAAAACCTTTTCTGTAATTTTGCACATTTATCATGTAGAAAATCTTAAACATGCGGCTGAAATTGCACTTCCTTTTCTTGTATTAAGATATCTCTGGGATGTAATGTGTAGTCAAACATCTTTATACTGACAGAAAGAGGAAAATCACTCGTCCGACCCTTTTAAGATCAAAGTGGGCTGTATGTGGCTCAAGACGTAAAATGTATTTGACGTCCCTGGGTTAGATTTTAAGGCCTAAACAGAGTCATGGAGGCAGATGTCTGTGGTGCCATGACAGGAAACTGCCCTGGAATTTGCTGATTTCTTTTCAAATCGCAATATGAATAGGAAAGGGCTCATGCTTCTCACTGTATTAAGAGCATAGTCAGACTGTTTCAGAATGATGAAGGGCCACTTTTTCCCATTTTGAATTTTGTACATCATCAAAACCTCCTTCAGATCTGTTTAGGTTAAAATTAATTCAAGTCAAGTTCCAAATTGTTGAGATGGGATCAAATCAAAGAGTTTTACTTAGAATTATGCTTAGAAGACTTTATGTACCTTAAAAACAAAAAGTTAGAATAATCAATTCGGATGAAACAAAGGCATGAATTATTGTCTGAGACAGCCAACACCAGAAAAGACATTTTTAAGTCTTTGTGATATCTTTGATAAGCTGATCCAAAGAAAGAGTACAATAACTGCCAACAAAAATCTTTCTGTCAGTTCTTGCTCTTGATCATTTTAGTTTTATCAGAATTCGGAAGCAGAAAAGATTGCATTACACAGTTTTTCCCAGCAGACACGCAGACCTATTTTAGAGTGACAAGAAGACACTGGAGTGTGATACATTATCAATATTTGATATTTCAAGACCGTCCCACAATTTCCCATCTTTTATGCAACATATTAAACACTTGGTAGCAAATGTGGGCAGCATGGCGGTGTAGCTGTTAGCATTGCTAGCACTGGCCGGCTGGGGCCTTTCTGTGGGGAGTTTAGATGTTCTTCCTGTGCCTGTGTGGATTGCCTCCGGGTACTAAGGCTCCCTCCCACAATCCAGAGACATGCATGTAAGGTTAAGCAGTAATTCTAAACTGACAATGAAGGAGCTGTAATAGTGAGCAAGAGTAATTGTTTGTCTCTCTCTGTGACAGAGGTGCGACCTGTCCAAGTGGGTATCCCAGCCTTTTAATCAGTTTGGAGTAGGCTCCAGTGCGCCCTCGTGGACCTGATTTAAATAAGAAAAGGATGATTGATGGATGGATGGTTGCAATGGCAGCTGAAAATATGGAAATCATGTTGTTGTTTTCTCTTTCTTTTGTGATTTTCTACTTTTTCTAAATTCATAATTGTTTCTGCAGAAAAAAAAAAGAAACCGAAAAGGCCAAAAAGGCCGTTGCATTCCATTGTGACATAGTCACTGTAGCTCGGACTGGTGATTGAATGACATGAAATTACACTGACAGGGTTCAGAACACACTCAACACAAACTCACACATGAGCTTCCTCTTTCGATATACTTCAATTGCATTGCAGCCTCTTGCAGATATGCTTCAGAGCATGTGTGCCTTCTGTAAAACGTGGCATGTACCTCTGTGATAATCTAGCCGTGGGAGTAAAAGGTCAGATTGATTGCCACTGGAACTCATAGAAATAAGGAAACCAATATCTGACACATTAACTGAACAATATCCCTTTTACTATTGGAAGTGTTTGCAGTGGTTACGATATGTGTGTACACAGATTTACACATAATGCAAATCTGTGTACACAATCTGGCTTCAATGGTGAGAGACAGCAGCAGATAGGGAGGGGGGAAATGAAAGGAGGAGAGAAATAGGACAGTGAAAGTAACAAAAAAAGAAGAGGAATGCAGACTGAAAGCAAAAGCAGAGCATGTTGAACATCTGTCTTCTCCTGGATGAGGGCGCAAAAAGGAGCAGAGAAGGCTCGGAGGCTTACAGGTCAGCGAAAACAAAAAAGGTTAAGGGTGGGAGGTTTGAAGGTGGTATATGAAAAAGACAAGGCGAGGCGTGTAGGGGATCAGATATCATAATGTCGAACCTATGTGACATCATTACAAGGGACAAAAAGGTCAGGAACAGAGGGGATAAAGTGGTACGGAAGGAGATTTAGGATAGCACGGCAGACAAAAGAGGTAACAGGATAACTGTAGTTTTCCTGCCCTCTAAAGAGGCACACATTAGGTGACAAAGCCCAGACCACAGCCAATCAAAAAGCAATAGTCATGGCTGAGCTCTCCTACCGTGGATGTCGACCTTTGAACTTCCTGTTTTGCCTGTGGTCGCCTACGTTACACTCTACAGGTACTACAAAGCAGAAACTAGCAACGGCTTCATTAGTCCTGATGTTTGTGGCTTAGGTAGAGATTGTGTACGTGTTAATAGTGCAGTTTGATTCATTACTGCTTCCTGTTGGCCAGTGACTAAAATCTCACACACTCCCACTCTATTTCAAGAGCCTGAGATGAATGTGTTAGCTTCTCTAATACGGGTTGTGCTTTGCATCTCCATGAGTTGTGTTTGTGTATAACAGCCCCTGGCACTACTGGTATTCATGCCACTGACTGGAAATGTTATAAATGAACCAATTATCCATTTAATTAGCCATCAGAGCATTCTCTGTGCAGCCTGCTTATGGCCTAGACATGATGGAAACAACCCACATGCACATGCACCCAGTATTAAAAAAAAAAACGTGAAAAATTTAAATCAATGTCCAAGAGGCTAGAGGGCAGGAATGAGTGCTGCATGTCGGACAGGCAGAGAAATGAAAGTAGAGGTTTGTGTGCGCTCCTGCCACTTGGGATCTGATTGTAAATGTAGTTCAAAGACAGCCTATCGGGTTGGAAATCAGCAGCCTCTGCCGTGACATTCCACTCACAGATGGCCTCACTTTGCTGTCGGAGCAGACACTTATCTTTCTATACTTGGAGTGGCTTTCCTCTGATTAAATTTTTTCCCTGCGCCCATCCCTAGCCTTCTTCAACGTGACCTTTACCTTAGAGTCAACTCTTAATATCCAAACTAACACTTACTGTAAATTTAAATTCAGCCCTTTGTGTCCATCGCTCAAAGCTCCAATACGGCTGCTAAAAAATGCCAGAATGCCCTGCAGAAATGTTCACAATCTGAAGCTCACACAGAGCAAAAAGGAAGCGCTGGAGAAAAGTAAGTGGTTGTATTAAACAGATTAGAAATTTTATTTGCATTTTTGTCACTAAGGGCTTGTTTATTTGGTCTCATATCCTGGAGATGAGCAGCAAACTCCCAGGGGAGAATACTTCCTTGCCATTTGTTGTCATGTAAAGCCCACTCGCTCTGTTCCAGTTCTTTCGTTTTATTCTTTTTTTTTGTTCTTCCTCCACATTTTTACTCTTTCATCTCTCAGACTATAAAGGCAAAGATCAGGGCAGACAAGGAGGAGGTTTCGGTATGAAACAGACAGTATAAACTCTCCTGGCCTGAGGTTCTGCTGCCTCGCTGTCAGTCAATAAATCAGCCAAGACAGAAAACAGATGCTGGGGGGGGTTGGACATGGCAAAATATGACATGGATGTAGCACATCGTGCTGAATTCTTTCACTTCTTTACGTGAAGTGAAAGAATGGGGAAGGAGCATCTAGCTAGCAGCAGCATGGATTCACACATGAGAACGGCTCTGAAATAACTGCGATCCTTACGCTGTTAGGTTCCCCACATAAATCAAGCTAACCGCGATGGACAATTAAACAAAATTACAGTGAGGAAAAACAATCAGAGCGAGGCTCTGATGTTTCTGCGTGTTTGAGTGGGTGCTTACCTTCTTGAAGAGGCGCCCTGAGTCCTCACTGATCTGTGCAAAGCGGGGAATGATGTTGTTGAGGTAGAGGTCAGACAGAGTGGCGTGGTCGCGGCTCTCCCTCTTTACCTGTTGCAGCAACAGGTTCCAGCAATTCACCGGAGATAAAATGCTCTGCTCCTTCCTGTATGCACAGAGAGAAATGACATGTCTTTATTCAAGGGAAGCTGTAATCTAAATTCACTCATCTAACATTCACTGCAAACTTGTACACACAGGTCTACTTTATGTTATATGCAAAATCAAGCAAACGGTACACCCATAATACAGCTTTTACAAACATGAGACAGGGCACTGGGATAACAGGGATAGACAGAGAGTTTGTAGACAGACTCTCTTACACACATACATACACAAAGGGTTGGTAAGCCAGCCCCAACGCAGGATTCAGCCAGGGTACAAAACCCAGCAGGAAGAGGTAAGGCTCCCCTGCAAGCACAGCTGCTGTCGAGGGAAATAAGCAAGAGCAGAAAAAGATGGAAAAAAGAGGGCAATCTGAAGACTGTAATCATTTCACTAACGATATAATGGTTCAGTGGTGTTGCGCTCTTTGTTTCAAAGCCATTACACAAATGCAAAGCTGTTAATGCCCTGCTTACATGACAATACAACAGCTTTTATGGGGTGTGCACACTATAAAAGTGTGTGTGTGTGTGTGTGTGTGTGTGTGTGTGTGTGTGTGTGTGTGTGTGTGTGTGTGTGTGTGTGTGTGTGTGTACTATAGTATGAGTTATGGATGATCTAGTGGGTAAAATGGATTATGAGTGAGTGTAAGTGGATGAAAGAAGGCCTTTGTGTTGTTAAGAGGAGCTTTAACTGGATAGAGACAGCAAAGAGCTGCAAGGCAATTATATCACACACACACACACACACACACACACACACACACACACGGAAAGTAGAACAGTGACCCCAGCACAGACGATGCCAAACAGACAGAGAAAGTCTTTGATTTGACTAAGTGGGGGTATACAGCGGGGGCGGTGAGGGGACTGTGTGCATGTGTGAGAGTAAAGAAGGTTTTCTGGGGGTGTGTAAGGGTGGTTCGAATGAGATGACTCAATGGTGGTGATGTGATAAACTGGTACTGGGTGACACTGGTCTCAATGTCATATGACTAACTACATGAGTCTAACAGACAATCCATCCGCACCACCTCAATACTGGAACCCGTCTCGCACTTGTTATGTGGATGTACCTCACTTTCCTTTCAAACTTCTCTCTTCTGTCTGATTCATGTCCGGTGCGCTCTGTCTTTACTGGTTGCACAACAAACACAAAATGTGACTCAAGTTCCTCCGTAAGCTCAAGAAGACAGCCTTAACGCCACCATGTGACTCGTCACCCTGAATCCACCAGCGATAACCATGGCAATGGCACTGCGGCACTGGGTGAAATATCATCCAAATCCCTCTCTGACCTTCAGCTACTGCAAGGTAAACACTGAAACATAATTGGCCCCCCTCGGGTCACATGGTGCAGATGCTGTTCCATACTGTTACAAAGGCTTCATCCCCGCATGAAGTTATTTTCATTACTTCCTCGCAGGCATTACAGCTTTTGCAGCAATGCATCTGTGCGTGAGGATTACTTGAGCGCCTGATTTAGACAGTGACACTAGACAATACAAATTACAAAAAAAGAAAAACGGGGCAATATGTGAAATCTGAGAGAACTAAAATGTGCTTTCATGAATCTGTGTGAAAACTGATTTTAATTCCTGGTGCGTGATTTTTGATTTTGTGGTATTTTAAAGGAGCAAATAGATAAAGCCGTGGACTTAAACTTAAAAAGTAACAGCACATGTAAAACGGATTTTTACTTTTTCATCCCATGGGTGGTCATGCAATCATGTGATCAGATATCAAAAAATCTCATTCAAGTACTGGACTGTGCAAGAGGCTGCATCGTATTAACAGTCAAACTGTCCTAATATTTAACATAAGGGCAGGCTTTGAATGAGTGCACAACTTGTGAGGGCTTCTCCATGTGACCAATCAGCCTGTCAGCCTAAGGACACACACACACAAGGACATACACAATACGGCTAAACCGTGCAGTCACCCCCCAACCGCTGCTGTATGCAGTCTGCCAAATAACTCGAATACCAGGGGTCTCCACGGGATCAACACACTGACAACCCTCACACCCCACATTGCTTAGAGCACCATCAACGCCTGGCTGTGCCGAGAAACATCCACAGCACCCTTCTACACACACACACACACACACACACACACACACACACACACACACACACACACACACACACAAATAAGCACAAATAGCCGGAAAATAACTGAAATTCCAGCATGGCACCCGGACTGAGCAGCAGCAGATGCAGCAAGACTGTTAAATACACTGATGTTGGGAGAAAAGAAAAGCAAACGGGGTGGGAGAAGAGCACAGAAATGAATGAAAACTACAAACTGAACAGTTTTCAGTCATACTTTTGGTGCCTTACGATGACTTAGTGGATATGATGGGAGCACACCTGCTGCTGCTGGAGCTCCAGTCGAGCAGGTAACCTACATCTTCTCTTCTGTTTATTGCTCTCCCTTTTCCTCATCATCTTCTTTCCCTCGCCCACCCCACCAATATGCATCGCACAATCTGAAACTGTCTCAGTATTGATCAGGGCTGGAGGGTGTGTATGAGGCCGAGTGAATTTGTGTGTGATGTGGGGTATGTCCTCACGGTCGGAATTGGGTTTCGTTTAGAGGACCTATTGATCCTTTTGAGTCTGCGAGAGAGCACGTAAACATGGGTTTGCCCCCAGCAGGGATATTAATATCTCTGGAAGGGTGCATGGTGCTTAAGAAAAGGGAACAGTCACTCTATGGAAGAAAGAGGAAGGCTGGTATTTAGGAGGTAATAGTTTAGAGGAAGTCAAAGAAAATATAGAAAAGCTGAGCAGGAAAAAGTCCCTGTCCTTTGTTACAGTTTCAGTTAACTTGGAAAATCCAGAGTATCGAAAATTAAAAAGATCATTTCTGTGGAAATGAGCTATACCTCTAACACTTCTAAAACCAAAAGCTGGTAGCTAAAAGCGCCTCTGCTAATGATTTTTTGATTATTGTTATTACCAGTTAGTTTCACAAACACAGGGTTAAACACTGTATCTGTCCATTATTATTAACAAAATGCAGCAATTAGCATTTGAACATAAGCTGCTGCTCCATGAATGAATTCCCATTTTCTGAGCATGACAGACAAACATATTAATCTGTACGATAGCCTTAATTACATCAAGGCAATGCAAATCAAAGTACTAAATTATGTTTCTGTCTAATCAAATGCTTGTTTTTGTCCCTTAATGTAAAGCCTTCGTGACAAACATAAAAAAAAACAAAAAACCTGAAAGCTGGTTTAAAACCCTATGAGGGTAAATTTCAATTTACAGAATCTGTGTGTCTCTTTGTTTTCTCATGTGACTCTTTTAATTGGGCCTTCAGTCCTAGCAGGGAACACGAAAGAGACAAACGCACAGAAGGATGACGATATTGTTTCTGCAGAAAGGGCTGTCTCTGCTCATTTAAGAGTAAGCAGTTACAGATGACACACAGCTGTGTGACAAGTCATCAGACATTTAGTGGAGCTATTTGTGTCCCTATGGGTTGGTTAATGACGTATTAATGATACTGCAGTAACGACAACAGGAGCTTATTGCTTGTTCAGCTAAACGGCAGGGATCGCCCATTATATGTACTATTGCATCTAAAGGCTGTTGCCAGCATAAACCTGTGTATTATATCTCAGCATTTAGCAATCCTCAGAGTTGGCGGTCAAATTCCTGTTCACAAGGTAAAAGATGGAAGTGAGATGCAGTGAGGCAGTACTATCCAATAGGATATGTTGTGTGTGTGTAGTTTATGAATAGCTAGCAGTTCAGTGAATCCTTCCCTACAGGGAGGCAGACTGCTAAATCATTCCCCACTCAAAAAGTGACAATTCTACAAGAATGCTAATGCCGATGAGCGACTTATGTAGTTTATGTAGAGAGAGAGAGAGAGAGAGAGAGAGAGAGAGAGAGAGAGAGAGAGAGAGAGAGAGAGAGAGAGAGTCACCAGGCCTGTGACGTATAGGATGA